AAATTAGCAGGGAGCTGCTGGCACTGCAGGTTCTGGCCCTGACCCCACTGCAGTGGCTTGTAGCCATGTCTGTGCTGTAGCAGTGTTGATGGTCCTACGCCATGATTTTGCACAGCTGTGTTTGATAGAGCCCAAGTGCACACTTGGGTCCATAAACAGACTAAATTGTATCTAAGGAGGCAATACACAACTTACTGACGTCTTTACTGAAGATTTCCATCAGCTGAAATTGTAGGATAGGTGTTCTGCTTTTCAAAACTGCTCTCAGAAACAGCTTCCACCTCTGAGCTGAATGCTGCTAGCAAAATGAAGAGTATGACACTGCCTGAGGCAAGATAACACACTTGAACGAAACAATGTGGTCTTGGCACAAATAATTTCCTAAAATGGAAATTTCTGAGGAAAATTTCCTAAAATGGAACTTTCCAAGGAAAAAAATCATGCATTAACCATTTTTAACTTAAAAATGTCTGAAATTAGTGTAAATTAATTTTAGAAGCCGTCTGCCAAGTACAGTCAGTTGATGTCTCCAAGTGTTGGTGAGGGGAGCATACGATGGCCTCTGGAAGCAGCAGTGATGTAACATTGGGGAAGCTGAGATGGAATTAGATAGCTGGCTCTGAATGCATACTGCATTGTGCTCACAGTCTACAGCCAGAAAGCCCAAAAGTCCCCCCATCAGCACACAGGGAAGGGAGGAGGCCAATAATGCAGAGGAACAGAAAATTGCAATGCAAAGACCAGCAGGAGGAAGGATCCTTCACCCATTGCATGAGGCACCCTTGCAGATCCATTTTACTGCTCTGCAGACTGAAGACACATCACATCACGAGACATGCTGGGGCTGGGTAAGGCAGCCTGGTCTGCTTGCTGTACAACCACCAGTAAAGCAGCCTGATCTGCCCATATAACACCCAGCTCAGCGTGGAAAAGATGACAGGTGAAATTAGTGGGGCACTCTCTTCTGGGAGCAGCAGAGGCACCCATGTGCTGACTTGACATACTCTCTAGAGAGATGTGCTGTTAACTGGGGGATTATGTCAAGGATTCCAGCTGGACACTACTAAGCCTCCTAAAAACCACTCATTACTCAGTGCTGTTGTTTCACACGAGTACCAAGAAGGATTACAGGGCCCTGGAAATGGGCTTATCAGTCCTGGTCAAAGGTAAGTGGTTTGAAGGCGCTGTCTTTCTCATACAAGAGATGCAGCAGTCCTCCAGTACCACTTTACTGCATGCTCTGAAGTAGTTCCATGCCTTTTGTGAACTGGGGATGGTCACACTACTCCAGACATGACCTCACCAGGGTAAAGTAGAGGGGCCAGGATCACTTCCCTTTACTGTCTGGTCACTCTCTTTGTAAATGCATTCCAGGGTACCCATTGGCCTTTCTAGCTACAAGGACCTACCAGGACTCTCAAGTTCTTTTCTGCAGAATGGTTTTTCATCAGGCCAGGCCCAGCCTGTACTGGTGCATGGGTTCATTCTTCCCCAGCGGCAGGACCCTGCAAATTTGACTTTGTTTAACTTCATTAGGTTCCTCTCCTGTTCATGTCTCACACAGCCTCCTGGAGTATCAACCACTCCTCCCAGTCCTGTGCCATGCACCAACTTGTCCCTTCACCTAGGTCACTGATCAGTAAGATGAACAAGATGGACTGAGCCCTGGGGAGCACTGCTTACTACAGGCCTCCAGCTGCGCTGCTGATCACAACCCTCTGAACTCTGCCAGACAATTCACAACCCAGTTAGGTGGCATAAAGTAAAAAATATGATATATTGTTGGAGAGCATCCAAATGCAAGTCACAAGGATGATGAAGGGTCTGAAGGTGAAACTGTGAGGAGCAGCTGAGTTCACTTGGTCTGTTCAACCTGGTGAAGAGAAGATGGGAGAAGAGCTCAATGCAGTCTACAGCTTCCTCGTGGGGGAAAGTGGAGGGGCAGGCACTGATCTCTCAGTGACCAGTGACAGGACCTGGCTCCCTGAGCTGCTGGTCTATCTTTCAAGGAACAGTAGGGCACTTTGCAGGATCTCAGCTTGTCAGTGTAATCCTATAACTTATTTACTACAGAGTGCTTTTAAAATCCATCAAGAAAAATCTATTATGCTTTAGAAAAATCTATTTATGCCTTCATAAGTGTTTGAACGCTGCAGCAGCCTGTGCTCCAGTAATAAGAGTTACTTGCAATGTGACTAGCTGTTTTTAAATGGCCACAGCCTACTCTGTCTCTGCAGGAACAGCATCTCTCATGTCTGTCTCCACTGTGTCATCTGCTCAAACTGAAGGCGGCTCTCACAGCCCTCCCCTTGAGCTCCTCAGAAATGGATGAGCAGAAAAGCATTTGTAAATCTCAAGAGATCACAGGAAGAATGTAAACACACAGAGAAGCAATCCAGAGGTAAAAAGGTTTCACAGCATGTAATTCAAAAGGTATGCTCTGAGTCAGAAAATGGCTGCTACCTGGACATTTTGAAATCAAAAGTTGATGAAAAATTATGATTTTTTGGAAGTCAGATACAGGCAGAGATGTATTTTATTTCATAGTTGCAATACCAGAGCAACATCTGAAAGGGAAGATAAATTTAGTGTGTCTGCTGCTAATGAAGTACTCATTAAGGTATTAGCTCAGGTGAGCATAAAAAAGGATGTCATTTCAGCCCCACAACTAGGAGAGGAAGCCTGAAGTACCTTTTCCACACCAAAATTACAGTCTCACAGAATACTTGAGAGTGGATGACACCTCTAAAGACCAACTTTTCCATCCCCTTTTCTCAGAGCATGCTTACCTAGGACAGATTGCTCAAAGCCATGTCCAGTAATGTTTTGAATACCCCAAAGAATGCAAAGTCAACACTCTTCTTTGGACAATCTGATCCAGTGTTTGATCACCTACACAGAAATTAAAAAACAACCTTCTTCCTTCCAAGAAGAAATGCAACTTTTGCTTATTTCTTCTTGTCCTGTCTTTGGATATCACTGAGAAGGGTATGACTTCATCTTCTTTGTTTCCTCCTATCATCGGGTAGTTACAGATTGATAAATTTTGCCCTGAGATTTCCCTTCTCTGGGATAAACCCTCTCAGCTCCCTCAGTCTCTCATTATATGCCTGATGTTTTAAGCCCAGCCTCAATCATCTAAGTGGACCCTTTGTTAGATTTTCTAGTATGTCCACACCTTTATTGTACTAGGAAAGTAACTCCGTGTCTTACCGGTATTGAGGGATTTGGTACCTTGCACAACTTGCTGCCAGCAGTTCTAACACATCCCAGGATGTTTTTAGCCTTTGACACAAAGGACTATGGCTGGCTAATGACCATCTCATAATTTACCAGGACCCCCAGATTCTTCTCTGCAAAGCGGCTTTTTAATTAAGCATTTACTCATGCCACGGGTTATTCCTCTCAAGTCGTAGGATCTCACATTTGCTCTTGTTTGACTCAATGGGTTTCTTGTTGACCCATATATTTTTAATAGTGGCAGAAACAACTGGTGGCAGAAACAACTGTTGTATCAGGTACTCCTTCCAATTTTATATCATCTGAAAACTGGCTGAAAACTTTGTCTCATCACCCAGGCCATTAATAAAGATGTCAAATGGGATTTGGGCCTGTATTGGAGGGAGGAGGTAGCTCATGTTCAAGGAGGTGGCAAAGTATGAAATGAATAAGGGAGACTGGCAAAAATCTACCCTTTGATCAGGTCTACTACTATGTGATTCATCTTCATATACATTAATTAATGCAGCTGATTTTTGACAGCAAACCATCTTTCAGGGTAAGTTTTCATTTCCGTAGACTGATGTTCTGTGACTGTGACTTGCTTCTACAAATCTATCTACTTTTAGATTGTATCCTAAACATGCCTTGATAGTCAAGAATTATTTACCTTCTAAGACCGGTATTCCCAAATGTAATACTTTCCATGACAAAAGACTGAGAAAGTAAAAGAGGGCACTCAGCCCTGTCCCCCACACAGCCCTTTGGAGGGCCAAACAACATGTAATTTGCTATGATATCAACAAATCAGTGGGTTTAAACAGCTGGTGCTGAGGCCAAAAGGCTTCAGACTCAGAGGCTGCAAAGGTAACTGAGCCCTTCTGCAATCATAACCAAGCTGGTGAATGATCAGGGAAATTGCCTGAAAGCCACAACTACTCTGAAACAAAATACTAATGTAGGTATAGCCTAAAACATAGACAACATAGACAGAATTTGCTCTATCTCCAAGAAAATGCAGTAACAAAATTAGTCTGAAACACATGAGGGAACAAATATCTTTTTCCTTAATATCTTTACCTTATTTGTCTCTAGGAATAAGGAAGTAGTTTCTGAGGGGAAGCAAGAAAAGAGTCTAGAGAAATTGACAAGTGGTGGCTATAAACATGCAAATATATATATATATATATATATATATATATATATGTATATATGTGTATGTGTGCACATATGTGTGTCTAAATCCAAATGTATAACTTTAATCTTTTCCAAAAGCTCATAAAATTCAGGTCATGTAAGTCCTTGTTCTTTTTCTATTGTAAAGAAACACATTTTGTTTTTTTAGACTCAGTTTAGAATTCTCTGAATTAGTGGAGAAGGAATCTTGTCAGTTTCATAAACACCTGATGAGACCCATATATTACAACAAAACACAGCATTAAGAGGCCTGGCCTACCTTGCATGAAAAGCTGAGAACACAGCCATCAATAGGTATTTAATACTGCCTTGTTTCTTAAAAAAAATAACAAGGAAAGAATGTGAAAATAATAACTCAACTTATAAACTCTAATTGTTGCATAATGTATACAAATGTGTGTATAAGAGCACTGAAACCTAGGCTTCTATTAAAATCAGCAGTGATACTAAAGATTAAATTTAGCTCATTGAAAAACAAATACAAATCAAATTAATGTACTGAATGTCTTTAAAAGCCATTTTTACTTTTCACAAATGCTTCTTTAGACTGTTAAAATTATTTCAATTTAAAATGGTATACTTACATTCTTATCAGCTGCAGATTTGTTACAGTAAGCAATTAAGGAGTTTTGTGTCATCCATCAAGAATGTTGAATTTTCTGTCAGTGTAAAAATTCACTTTTAATAAAATTTTTGCAAAAGTAGCAACTGGTTGAATATTGAGCCCAAAAAGAGTATAAAAATTTGACCTACCTTTTGTATCCCATGACCAGAGTGTAATTAATCAAATAGTATTGACACTCTGGAGTATTGCAAAATAGCCCACTGCAATCATTCTTAAGATGCCCCATGTTAGGGACAGGCTTGCTGCTGCCAGTGAAGAAATCAGGTGGTAAAGTGAAAAACAAGATGCCTTTTGTCCTTCCATCCATACTTCTATTGGTTGCAGTGCCACCAGGGAATGAGTGGGTGTCAATCTGTCAGGCTTTTCTGTCAGGCTTTTCTTTTGTTGCATTCAAAGAAGACTGTCAGTGACAAATTTTAGCTTTCAAAAATCATGCATTAGAGCTAAATAATAGTGAAACTCTGCTCCTTTTCTTGTTTATCTTACATCCTGAACATATTTTCAGCTTGGGTAGATTTACTTTATTTTTCTTTTAGTGAAGCTGACATGCTGGTATGTTCATTATTCTAGTTTTAGGGTGCTTATGAAAACTATGAAATAGCAGAAGAGTCAGCAGAAGAGTATATTAGTGAGGATTGGTAACATTGTACCATAATAAGATGACTGCAGCAAACACCAGTGGGCATTGCTGTTTACATAAAATTTTTATAAGAACTTCCATTAACTATGTGCTTTACATTCTCTTAGATTGTTTGATTCAAAAAGGGATCCATTTAGATGTAAAATCAAGGTATTTTCAGTTGGCCTTGAAATTCTCTAGGAAGATTTGAGATAGGAAAAAATTTTGACTTGGGCTAAAAGTTTGTTGGTTATTGGAGGGTTTTAAAAATAATTATGTAACCACTTTCAGAGAAACTATTTACTCTCTTGTTGAACTTGTTGAACCATTTTGTCTTACTCTTTACCTAACAGTCTTGCAGAGTGAGACCTAAAATGGGAACTTTAAAACCAAGACATGGAAGTAGAGCAACATATGCCTGGATGCTGTTGGTATTTTTGCCATATTGGTTTAAACCTATGAGGGAGTATTTTGTCTGCACTCTCAGCAGATAGCCTAACAGCATGGCAGTGGCACACAGCTGACAAGTGACACAACAGAGCACTGGTGTGAAGTGACACAAGCAACTGAAAAGCAAGAAGACTTCTGTATGCTTTGCTCATATGCTTTCCTTTTATGTTGCAAGATCTTAATTTCAAAGGTTGATAAATTATTTAGTTAACAAGGAGTCTCTGAAAATGGATCTTGCTGTTCAGACAGCCAAACTAATGTCAAGAAAAGGAAATACTATCTCCTAGTTCTCTACTTCTTTTGCCTTTTGAGCTGATTTTCACTGGACTCCAGTGTCTAAATTTTGAGTGTGACTGAGGAGGCTTGTTTTACTGTTCTAGTAGGCCCATATATCCTGTGAGAACATTAAAAGATATTTCTTCTACTAAGCATTACACCATGAGTTGGGAGGAAAGAGCTAGAAGCAGAAGATTTGGTGAAGAGTGAATAATTTCACTCAAAGTCACCTTGCAGCTGGGAATACTAGGAACGTAAGTGTGGGAAAACTCCACTTATGCCTAGCATTCATGCCCTGCCTGATCTGAGCAGCAGGATTCCTGTGTAGAGAGACTCTCACAGATGTACTTGAGCCTCCTGATGGAGGAGAGAGAACATGAAAGCACAGGCTGATAAAGTGTGTGTGGTGCAGGCAGTGGGGCCCCCCCACTGTCTGCAAGGGTGAACTGAGCCTGGCAGAGCCTGAGTCCCTCTGTGTCTCTGCTGCCTGATGTTGTTAGGAAGATAATGATGAAAATCTCTGTATTTTGGCTGAGGTTTGCTGGTCTCCCTGGGTACCTGCAGCTGTCAATTCACATACCATGAAACACAGGGGATGAACAGTACCCAACTCATATCAAACTTCTAAGTTTCCTTTTGTAACCTGTTCAGTTACCTGAACCTCAATTTAATAGCTGTGTACAGCCACATTCATGAAGACAATTCTTTCTGCAATTTAAGCAGACATATTGTAAAAGGAACTGGAACTTATTTGCACATACAGTGAGTTATTTTCCCTTCTAGTGTGTTATATTAGAACCTGGTGACTTCAAGTGGCTTACAAAGCTGTTACTTTTCTACTCAAAGGAATTTCACCTTTGTTAAAGAATACAAGTTTATTTTTGTTTTGCATCTCTGGGGCTTCACATATCACTACTGCAACAGAGAGTAAAATATTCAGGACCTACAAGACTTGGACTTACTCTGTTTTGAAGAACAGCTGGAATCCAGAGAACATGAGTGATGATTTGGTTTAGAGAGACTGACAGTACAATGCATTTATGGGCTAGAGAGACTGAATCTATAAGCTGCATGTACTGTCTGAGGCAGAGTCAAATTTGGGCCCTCTTAAAAGCAAGGCTTGTTTAACTCTTGATTCTGGCAATGATTTCTAGTCCTGTTTATTTGTTCCTTGTCTGTAAATTCAGGATAAAGACATTTCCTTGTTTCCCAGGTTATTCCAAAACCTGTTGAAAAATTACTAATAATATCTTTATTATGTTGACAAGCCAGGAAATTATGTTGACTAGTCAGGAAAAGTGTTGCCCATAAGGTAAAAGGGGATGTTAGCAAAATACAAGCTATATAGAAAGAATGACAGTTTGATGGAGTCTTTTTTAATCATCAGATATGTGATGTTCTAAAATGTTCTTTCAATAGGATGACTTAAGGATACATTTACTAAGCAGTAAAGAGATTCAGGAAAAAATAAATCTGATGGATAAGAAAGATAACTTTCAACTCCTTAGTGTTTAAAAAAATTTAACTATCTCAAAAATGTTTAATTTCTAGGGCTATATAAAGTATGCCCTATACTTTACTGCACATTTTAAGAAAAGTTTATTTCAAGACAGCTGATTCAACATTGCTGACAAGAATCCTGATTAATTCTAAGATAATTAACTAGTAAAATATGCTTCTTATGTTTCTCAACATAACAAAATGTTTGGCAGAAATCACAGTGCATGGTTTTGGCACTATTGTAATCTCCCCAAAGAAGCAGTTACATGTGCTGTGAAAAAGAAGTAGCTCTGGTATGAATAAAAGAAAATTCTTGCCACTTCCTCAAGCTTTCTTGTGTAAGGAAAATTAGAAATTATATTAGAAGATATGTGTTTTATTCATACAGAGATTTTAATCAACTGTTATTATGTTACTATTTTCAGAAGGAAAAAAATTACTAAGAGCTGAAAATAAGTTTATGTGTTTCATTTAAACATAGGTCTTTTCAGTTCAGAAACCCCAAATCTAAATGCTGTCTGTCATTAAAACCCATGCCCATACTTGCTCCTCTAACAAGACTTTAACGAAACCACAAAAAACTTTGAGGATACAATCCATCTGTAATTCACAGAGAGTGCAACTAAGAGAATGGACAGCAATATTATCTGAGCTAATTACACTCAACTTTTCAGTTTCCATTGCACTAACAAGTCTTTGCTGATACCACCTTTTCAACACAGAGCTATTCTGTCACAGATATGAACTGTACCTGATACATCATTAATGTGGCCTGACTTCTATTTTACCTAGAATGAACACAAACACTATCATAAACACTGTAAGATGGGTTTATATAATTATTTTTCTTTCTTTACAAAGCAGTATATAATTCTTAAAACAAAGATTTCTAGGCCCAAGAAAACTTGTTCTGGAAACAGACTAAGCACATCTTCAGATCACAGATTAGCTCAGGAAAAGTTTGCTCAAATGGTTGACTCTGTGAATTCTAATGAAGTCACTAAAGTTGCCTATAACAACTTGCTTCTTGAGCTTGCACTCCAGTGTTCTGCTGACACAGCTGTAACAAAGATACACAGAGTCCCTGAGCTGCAGGATCCCTCCTGGACAAAGACATTGATCAGCAAAACTCTACTGTTAGCAGAGTTGCTCATTTCATTCATTGGATGCACTTTTGCAGACTGTATAGATTGAAACTGTACCTTCCCACTCAGAGCCTTTATCTGGAAAACCACATTTACATTTCAGTCAACAGTCTCAGTCCCTACTTCAGTGTGTTCCATGTGACTTTCATCTCATTGCACATGATAGAAACTAAGAAGCAAAAGTTGCAAGACAGATCTCATGTCACAAGAAAAATTGCTTCCTGTACATCATCAGTTGGATTTTGTTCTGGAATTTGGGTATAGACACTGCTCATCTGCATGCAGGCCAGCAGAGCTATTAAGATGTCTCGGTTTCAGCACCAGTCACTTGGCAATGTATTTAAAGCTAAGTACCATCAGTAAAGCTCATGGCAATAAACAAAATTGCCAGATTGACTTTACACTTTAATTAATTAGAAGTACTTGTAAATTATCTTTACATCTTTTAGATGCAAGGCTAGCATAAGTAAAGTAAATCACCATTAACTGTTAAGATAAGTCCATAAAATAAGAAGGGATTTATTTAAAAAAGTAATTAAAATTAATAAAAGGGGACATTTTTTTTTATAATGGACACAGAAATGAATGCAAGGATGAGAGGCCAAGGAAGCATAGAAAAGAAATTTTAAATAAGAGAGTGGCAGTGGCAGATATATAAATTGCTATTTATATCTGAGCTTTCAGACTTCCTTAAATTTTTGTTGCAAGGAATAAAGGACCACTGTATATTCTGCAAAATCAGGAACACCTACTGGGGGGGCACAGAGTGCAATGCAGCACTTGAAAATTTTTTAATGCTGCATGACAAATACAGGTCCCACACAATCCAAGATGTAATAGTCTGGGAACAAACATCATTCTTGCAATAGTGACTGTAAAATCTCAGCTTTTAGGGCTCTGCATCTTGTATGTCTCAAAGGTTGCATATCACATTTGTTCAAAGCAGAACTTGTTTTTTTTTTTGCCTCCAGAAATATGGCCAGAAGGCTTCCTTTGGGATAAGAATATTCTGCTGTTTTCCTTTTGGCTTATGCATCATCCTCAGGAAGATGATTTATTTGAATACATATTTCTGAGTATGATAGGTAAGCCAAAAGGAAAGTAGAAGCTTCTTGTAATACCAACTACTTGCAGAAAACTTTACCCATAGCATAATGATTCAGAGCTGATTCTGAATGGTAGTTGAGCACCTCACCTGGCTACTTAGAT